GCCTTCCGGGAGCGAAGCAAACGCAGTGGCAACTGCTCACAATGCGGACAGTCGGCCCTCTCGAGAGCCGACGCCGCGTGTTCCGTTCCCAAGCAAACCACGCACAAACTGTGTGTATCCCCGCTCGTGATGTAGCGTGGGCAGGGAGGAACACACAGTCTGTTTCGCCCTTTTTTGTCTTTAGTTTAGACATCTTTTTTTTCTGCTGGAGCTTATATCTTGGTATCGCTGAAGGCGTTCCCCTAGCGTTTTCCGACACAGCTCGAGTTCCCGAAGGGGAACAGAAATTCACCCATCTGTTTTCTACATACATGTTATTGATCTTTTTGTGAACGATTCCTCTGTGCACGTTTATTTATTGACCTCGTAATTTTTAAACAAATTTTCAAAACTAATAACTCACTCTTTTGGTGAAAATACTCTCTGGTGACATGTCCAGTTATTTTGTCATCATAAACCCCATCCCTTATTTCACCCCTTTCATCCCTTCTGCTGTAAGCTCGCATTCAGATCTGCTTCCATCCAATAAACAACCAATGTTTAGGAATAAGTCCCTGTCCTACTTTTTTTTTTTTTCCAATAATCTCAGATGTACATAATACAGGAAACAAGATTTGTCCCTACTTCTATGTTGCATGTAGTTTCTAATATCTTGCTACCATTTTTCGATTTGCTAAAAAAGGAATGTTGTGTGAATTAAGTCTAGTAAGTTAAGTCTAAAAAAATTATTTAGTACTACTATATATTGTACTGCAGATATTTAAATCAAACCTCAATACAGAAAACTGAAAATACATGTTGACAATGATTTATTGCCGTTCTACAACGCAACCTAAATTCATTGAAACCACAAAAACATTTTTGATATCCGACAGTCGATATGATATTAGATGTGCAGGCATTGTTCTACAGCCACGGTAATTCTCCCTCTGGGGAGAGAAAGACCAGATGAATATGTAAAGGATGGAGGTGTTACTGAAAGCAGATCTGAAGTGTTGAGGATTGTGGATTATGATGAAGAGCTCACAGTTTACAGCAAAACACTGACTATGAATGATTTCCTCAAAACAATAGGAATAAATGCACGTTATCTACTCTCATCCACTCCACAGATGAAACTTTGATTCTAATGTTAAAAGCCAGAATAAGAAACGATGCACAAGAACAATTCAATGCAATATTATCGGTTCTATGCGCATGTGTATGGGCTGGCAGGGGGCACAGGCGTGGGGTGTAATCCCGGTTTTTACTGCAGGGCAGAAGGCATACGGCGAACGGCTGCAGACTTTCTCCCAGCAGCAGCTGTGACACCATCTTTGTATCTTAAGGTGGTGCCTAATCACCCTTGCAACTCTAACTACTGTACATCTCTCATGTTTTCAATCAGCCAGGCCCATAAATTATTGTCAGCAGTAATCACAGTCGTCCACTCAGGGCCCGCTGAGGGGTCCTTGCCTGTCTGTGCATCAATTCAGTCTTTTCTGGCACTAGACTAACACATCTGAGGGGCGCAGGGGTCTGAGCGCTCGCCAAGCCAACGTACCACTGACAGCACTGGAGAGGAAGAGGTCTCTCAGAAGAGGTGGTGTTAATGAAAATGATTAACCTATCTGCACAGCGCTGGATGAGGAAATCAGAGCTCATTACATCAAAACTGACATGCCCGGCCTGTGAAATTATTTAGTGATCTCTGATATTAAGTCGGAAAGGGTCAGTGCAGCACGTTACTCAAAACCTTGCTCTTATTCTTTGACGGTACAAAATGGAAATATATGCATCTCTCTTCTTGTTTCTAATAAACTCATCCGGCGGCTTTGGCAGGCAGCCCAAGTACTCGCAGCACAGCCTGCCTTTTTCACCACCGCACACTTTTCTTTCACTGTGAAAACTGCCAGCATGGGATGGCACAGTCACTTCTGGCGAAGGGGTGCTGTCAGTCTAGATCAGTGAGAAGCAGCCTTCTATTTCAATTAGCTCTCATCTGCCCTAGACAGTCACCATGACGGCCACATTAAGTCAAGGACCGGCGTTAAGAAGCAGGTGGGTGTAGAAGGGAGGAGAGATGTCGTAACGGGGCTCAAAATCAGGGACTGGAATACCTGTCATCACAGTGTTCTTCTATAAAGGAGAGACCGCGTGGTTGTGGTAAACACAGCGCAACTCCCTGCATATGCTCTGTTCAGTCTGTGATGGAGGACGGGAGCAATGAGGCATGTAATCTCCTGGATGTAATAGAGAGCAGAGAAGAATTTTATTATACATTGAAACAGAGCCATTTCTTCTAGGTTTTTACTAGTAATGTGCCTGAAGCTAAATATCTTATTCATAAAGACAAAAATAAATAATGTTATCTAGACTGATTTTTTAACAAGCACACAATCATTTTTTTCGAGTTATTAATACAATTTTAAAAATATATATTTTTTTAATTATTCGAATTTTATTTAATTTAAAGGGATAATTCACCCAAAAATGAAAATTCTATCATCAATTCCTCACCCTCATGTCGTCCCAAACCCATAAGACCGTTCATCTTCGGAACCCAAATTAAAGGGTTAGTTCACCCAAAAATGAAAATTCTGTCATTAATTACTCACCCTCGTGTTGTTCGAAACCTGTAAGACCTTCGTTCATCTTCGAAACACAATTTAAGATATTTTTGCAAAAAGTATTCTCGTAGCTTTGACGTGAACCTTGAACGTGGTAGTTACCTTGCTGTCTATGGGAGGGTCAGAGAGCCCTCATATTTCATCAAAAATATCTTAAATTGTGTTTCGAAGATGAACGAAGGTCTTACGGGTTTCGAACAACACGAGGGTGAGTAATTAATGACAGAATTTTCATTTTTGGGTGAATTAACCCTTTAAGCGGAGACACGGAAGAAAAGAATGGTTGAATAAAGTTATTTTTGTTCTCTTTGCGCACAAAAAGTATTCCCATAGCTTCATAAAATTATGGTTGAACCACTGATGTCACATGGACTATTTTATCGATGTCCTTACTACCTTTAATAGGCCTTGAACATCTCAGTTGCATTGCTGTCTATGCTGGGTCAGAAAGCTCTCGGATTTCATTAAAAAATATCTTAATTTGTGTTACAAAGTTGAATGAAGGTCTTATGGGTTTGGAACGAAATTAAGAGAAGTAATTAATGACAGAATTGTCATTTTTGGGTGAACTATCCCGTTAAGAAATACACTACCATTCAAAAGTTTGGGTTTGGTAAGATTGAGGTTTTTGAAAGAAGTTTTTATGCTCAACGAGGCTGCATTTATTTGATTAAAAATAGAGTAAAAACGGTAATATTGTGAAAGATTAGTACCATTTTAAATAAAGTTTTTTCTATTTTAATATATTTTTGAAAAGTTTATTTATTTATTTCAAATTATATGAGCCATATTTGATAAATGGTAGAAAAACATTTTTTTCATTCAGTTTTACTTTTGAACCCTGTTTTATCTGAATTTAGATACAAATAATTCCAATCACTGCAACAGATCCAGATACATACCTGTATAGAGATGGCTTAACTGCACACCCCTATTTTCTGATAAAGGCAAGGTCGCAATCCAACACAGCTGAGTTTACAGATGTCCCTGTAAAAGAAATAAAAAGGTGACTTCTTGAGGTGACTTCTGGAGAAATCTGGAGGTTTTCTTTATGAAAGCAGTATGATATCTTAGTAACTGGGTACAGTCTGGGGAGAGGAGGTGCTGCCCGCAGGTTGTTTACGTGAGTTCCTGATTCAGGGGGGATTCGGTGTGCTGCACCCTTGTTGGGCATGAAGCTCTCAGTAGGGAACAGCCTGAGGTTGAGGGTGGTAAACATGGCTATCCCAGCAGACATTACAGGAGCTTCAGCAGCCACCTGACAATGGCAATGGATAACAATGGTGTTATTGAGAGACTCTCAACATGTAAAACATATATAAAACATACAGTGAGAACAACTGTTTTCCTATAAAGATCACCGTTCTGTAAATATGGCAGGGGAAATATTAGGGGTGTGAACTGATGTCATTATCTGTTGCAATTATTAAACTGAGTTCTGAATAAGCCGGATGTGGGCTTCAACAGAGTGTATGGCAACACTTACTGAAAAGTCAATTTTAGATGTAGCAATACACTTTATACTTTATATATATGACGTTCATAAAATGAAAGTTTATGAAATATTTCATAAAATTATGTATTCTAAGTTTCAACCATTATGTAAAAAAGCTTTTCAAAGAAAAAGCAAGTGAGATACAGATACTGCATATATATAGTGGAACATTTTATCTTTAATGCTTTAATGTTACTCTTGACTACTTCGGATTTCTAAGCTCCACAAAATGAAGGAGATGGAAGTGTCATCTGATTTTAGATGACACTTTATATTAGCTTTAGAGACTCACAATTGCTTTTTAATTTTAGAAGTATTTATTAAAATTCTGCTTCATCCTTGTTCTTGTTGGATAATCAGTCATATACTGTATATGTGACACACAACACCCCTGGAGGGAAAAGGGGAATTTTCTCAGGATAAACATCTAAGCACCAGAGGACCTTAATGCTGTAAATCCAATGCAAAGCACTTTCAACTAAAGAGTCAGATCTTGCCAAACACTTTGCACAGAACCAGACAGTATGAACAAAAAAAGAAAGAATCTGTTCCAGAATGTTCCCAGACAACCTTTCTCCAGCAGAAGACGAGATGTTCCACTGTAACAAACTCCTTGTGGTTGGCCAGGCTACAGAAGTCCATTGTACCAGCACTGTGGCCAAAGATCTACTACCTGCCACCTGCAAAACCCATATCGAGGCAACATGTGGTCAAAAACGTAACTTTTCATTTCATGCCATTTCATCCGGAGATGGTTGCCTAAAGGGATGATAAACATTACACCAAATGTAGTATATTCCCTTTGTGATTTAACGCTCTTTCCTCAGTCCATCAGTGTTAAAATTCCCTGAAAACAACCTTTGTGCTTGATTCCCACACATGATATAAATAATGTATCTGTGCTTACTTTAGGTAACAGTATGAACATGCCACTTAACAGGGAATGTAGCATTCACAGAAAACTAAAAGGAAGGTCAAAAAACAGAAAACAAAACTGCAACTTACTATAATGGGGTCCTGAGGTCTAGCCTCGGTGGATTACATCATACCATTGTTGTTATGAGCGGGACGCACATGATCACCATTCGTTTCCAAAAGGATGTGTGTCCGAGCCAAAACACAGTCTTGTTCCATATGCATCCTGTTGGATCCATGTGTCCTTCATATTATCTCTCATTCACTTTGTTCCCCAGCCACTGAATGTCGATCATTTTGCATTCAAGGTTCAATCCATACACTATTAGCTGTAAGCAGAGAGATGGTTCTCATATCCTGCTTGGACTCTTTTGAAGGAGCGAGAGGGTTGGGGGAATTATTTAGTATATGTGAATTTAGAATGGTGAACAATGGCAAGTTTTTTGGCTTGTAATGAAAGCAAAATCTCAAGATCCAGAAGTTACTCTTGAGAATCCACATGGAATTAAAGGATTATTAGGGGTTCTGTAAGTTAAACTCAGTCAACTGAATTTGTGACAATGTTGATTAACACAAATGTATTTCCACTTGCCCGCATTCTCTTTTAAAAAAAAAAAAGAAAGAAAAAAAGAAAGAAAAAGAATATCCACGTACAGTGAGGCACTCAAGTAAACAGGGCTTATCCATAAATGTAAAACTATTATACTATGTTATATTGAATATTGAATTGTATAACTTTCCATGACAAAATGCCTTAAAATCCTAAAACTGATATAAACAAATAAATAAATGATTTAAACAGCTTAACAAATAAGCGTAGAAGAAGAAATGTAATTATTTGATAAAAAATGGCCCCATTTACTTCCATTGTAAGTGTGTCATAGTAACCAGTGTGGTAATTGTAATGAAAGAAAGAAAGAAAGAAAGAAA